GGTTCCGGTCCCCGCCCCCCCCCCCTCCCCATTCATGCCTTCCCCCCCCCCGTTTGGGGCGGTCAGGTTGATGGTCCACTCCAAGGGGACTTTGATCACTTTCTTCTGCGGTAACGCGTAAAACACAAAGAGCGAGTAGTAGGACACCTTGCGGTCGATATTGGGCTGGACGAGCTTCAGGACGATCCCCGTGTATCATGTGGATGAGGCAAGCAATCAGGCCACCAACCCATCACACCATCATCTCGATTAAACTCTGGATCAGGCCATATCACGTCGTGGAAGGCCGTGAGGGTAGTGGCACGAGCAAAAAAGAATAAAAGCCTTCAGACGCGTTCCCCTCGATGCACCTCCGTAGAGGGCGCGATCATCGAGCCAGCCGACGCATGGTCGACAGGCGTGCCTCCTGCCCACGAGGGGAACGTCAGATCATCGACAGACGTTTGTTAAGTTGTCTCAGTTGAAACTGAGAAAGAGCAATTTACACTTTCAATAGATCCTATCGAGTATGCAATCGCATCTTAAGCAAAGGCGTTCGCTCAATGACATACTCGCTCCGTCAAATTTGGCCCCTCCATGTATGGGTTTGCGTATACCGCCACCGCTGGGGCACTGCGCAGGCGCAACTGCTCGCCTCGCTCACTGTACACCACCATCACCATGCCATCTGTAAAGCCCACAACATCTCCACCTCCGTAGTACAACTGAATCTCCGCTACATGGCGTATTCCGTTCACGAGTCACATCTCCGTCCCTCCATCCTCCGACCTGCCCTTCACCTCGCGTCCTCCTGCTTTGCCGCCAAGAGATGGATGGATGGATGGATCCGATCCAGTCGCCGGCATCGCATCCCATCGGGGAGCCTGTATGGGGGATCGGGGGACGAATCAACTGCAGAAAGTTGCCTAGATGGGGGTGGAGATGAAGGGGGGGAGAGATCGGAAAGAGGGCGAATAAGAGGGTGTAATTTGGGTGGGAAGGGAGAAAGTGTGTGTGTGGGAGGGGCCAGTCGCTGGCGCTCGATCTGGTCTTTTCTGAGATCAACAACCTCAGCGTGAGGCAACAGTGATCGCTCGCTGCAATTGTTCAATCACTACGCTCATTGCCCTCACGCGATCGTGACGGTCTCGACCTTGCCATCGGATAGTAGTTTGAGCAGATCGTATCTGCCGAGCCGGACCATGCCGCCGACAAAGACGCCTGTGGCAAGCTGGCCGAGACCGGCGATGACGCCAAGGGCCAACTGGCCGATGGCCCAACCGAGCGGAGCAACGGCGACCTGGCCGACGGCCATGAGCAGACCAAAGCAAGCCTGGCCAATGCCGGCGCCGTAGGAAAAGGTGACCCAGCCGAGGGCAAAGAGAACGCCAACGGGAAAGGCGCCGATGGCGATGCACGCCCGTGGGGCGCTGCCACAGCCACAGATGGGCCATCCGCAGATGCGGGCGGGCGTGTGGAAGGTGCCGTTCTCCCAGCCAGAGCGTGGCGGATCGTAGGGACGGATCTGTTCCGAAAGAAAGTCCATCGAGAGAGTGAGCGGACAGATCTCAAAGCCGCCCTCGCGCCGCCGCATCCGTTCGTTGGTCGTCGTCGTGTTGGACGCGCCGTACGCGTGCGAGTACTGCCCGCCCGAGTACGTGGCCACGGCCGGACCACTATGGTTGCCAGCTGGCGGCTCAGGAATCGGTGCCGGTGGCGCAGATGGCACATTTGAGTAAGGCGATGAGCCGTAAGGCGTAAACGATGGCGGAGGTGCCCGGCCAGAGCCTTTTCCGTGGCCAACGCCCTGGCTGCCCGCGCCGGCATTGAAGCTCCCTGGCGTGTAGGCCACAGGCGAGGTCATGGGCACAGTGCCCTTGGCAGCAACAGCGGCGTCGTAAGGCGGTGGTGCAGCCATGGCAATGGTGTAGCAGACAAGCCTTTGCTCTCGTCCCGCACACCGTCTGCGCTTGCGCTCGTGCTCGTGCTCAACCGACGTGTGCGTGATTGGAAGCTGCTGGCCGCGTCACTCGTTTTTTTTTCATTGGTCGCCGTACTGCGGTGCAACTGACGATGGGGCTGGGTATGGGCAAGTGATGCGAGCGAAGAGAGAGGCTTGTAGAGAATGGCATAGAGAAGCTGATGGTATTCGTGGATGGGTCATGGGAATGGAGCATGCGGAGCAAGGGCGCTGAGCTGACAATGTGTTCGCGTGGCGTCGGCGTGATACCAAGAACTCGGCGGCGTGGTTTTTGCATGCGCGAGTTTTCTGGATGGTTGGTTGATGGCCAGTATCAGCCATCCCTTGATGTGCGTATGATTGCGTGTATGTGGGATGGGGTGTGCTGGCGGTGGGTGGGTGGGTGGGTGAGGGTGTGCGGCGCGGATGGGGGGTCATGACCTTCAAAAAGCCCCACCGCTAACACAGAGCCGGGTCGGCGTCCCTCGTACTCTATCCCCCCTCCCCCTCCCCCCCCCCCTCCTAAACTCGATCGGGGCTTTCCCAGCCTCTAATCCCTCCCCCAACCGCTCCCCCCACCCCCTCTCTCTCCCCTCCCTACACCTTTCCAACCCTTCCACCCACCCCACCCCTCCCCCCCGAAAATATTATCCTCCACCCCCCACCCCCCACCCCCCCCTCACCCACCGCCCACCGCCCATTCCGTCCAACCTGCCCTCCACCCACCTCCCTGACCACGGCTACACCTCACCCACTCCCTTCCCCCCCCTCCCAC